GGCTGAGGCAGGAGACTTGCTTAAGCCCAGGAGTTGGAGGTTGCTGTGAGCTTTGATGTCATGGCACTCTACCCAGGGGCATACTTTGAGGCTCTGTCTCAAAATAAAATAAAATAAAATAAAATTGGGATTTCCTCTCTAGGTAATGATGAGAATTCTTAAGTGGGGAAGAGTATTGATATCTGTGATTTACTATGAAGTACACACATACACACATACACAAATGGATTGATAGATGTATAAAATAAAATATGGACTGTAGATTCTAGATAGTGGTTAACTGTCTTTTAAGTTTTCTTCTGTATGTTTGAAGATTTTTATAATAAAATGCTGGAGAAAAATGGGTTTTCACTAGGAGTAAGAAAAATGCTCATGGCCTTATGTTTAAACATTGTTAAAGGACTTTCCCCCTCAAATATGCACTTTTCTAACAACCTTATGATGCTGCTGGAAGATTTTATGGCTTCATCTATTTTACTGAATGTTAACTTTATACTCTCACCCTGAGGCGCTATGGCAACAAGAATACATTTCCAATTTAAAATAATAAAATAAACCTTGACATAAGAGAGGAAAAATACAGGAACCTTTCTGGTGAGTACAAAGTGGACGTATTTTTTGATTATTACCTTTGTCATTTGATCCTAGGAAAAATAAGGTACATAGGTGTGTGTGTGTGTGAGAGAGAGGGACAGACAGACAGACAGACAGAGAAACAACAGACAGACAACATACAGATGCACAGGCTTATCTACTATACTTTGTCCAGTATGATCAAAGACACTTTAATATATTATATAAAAAACATGTAATACAACATGGACTAGTTTGTTCAGCTGAAGGTAATGGTTAATGATATTCAGGCCATGAGTTCATGCCCTGTTGGTCCAACTGAATTATCTCTGAAGGACAAGTTAAATCTATGACTAAGGACTATATGAGGTCTAGCCACTTTACATTGCTGGACCACTAAGCACAGCAAGGATTACAAGCCACAATACTGATCATCTTTATTCTCAAATATATGAGGAATCCAGATGCACTTTTCTAAGGGCTATGGGGATTACAGACACAGCAGGATATCCCTACCTCATTTGGAGGTGCTCACAAACTAAATAAGATAATGGAATATATACATTATAAAAATAAGAAGCATTGAAAACTAATATTTATAGCACTTTTGGCTTATAAAATATTTTCTCATATATTATCTCACCCTATTGCAAGAATTTTAATGGTAGCATTACTTGTAATAGCAAAATTATAGGAATACTCTAACAGTTTCAAAACTTAAAATAATAATAATAATATATCCGTTCAATGAAACATTATACAGTCTTTAAAATTGATTATACAAAAATATATATTAATATATCAATATTTTTACCATATTTGGTAAATGAAAGAAACAAATTACAATAGAAAATTACCTTTTTTTGTCTGGGCACAGTGGCTCATGCCAGTAATCCTAGCACTCTGGGAGGCTGAGGCAGGCAGATTGCTTGAGCTCAGGAGTTCAAGACCAGCCTGAGCAAGAGCAAGATCCTATCTCTACTAAAAATAGACAAACTGAGGCAAGAGGATTGCTTGAGCCCAAGAGTTTGAGGCTTCTGTGAGCTAAGACTCTGTCTCAAAAAAATAAAAATAAAAAAATTCCAATTTTGTGAAAAGAAAATCACATATATGAAAATATATACAAGTACTTCACACACACACAAAAAAAAAATGAAGTGTGCAAGCTGGCTCACTAAAGAGAGCCAAAGGTTAAATAGTAATTTTTTTTTATTTCAAATTAGTATGCTGGTACAAATATTTAAGTTATATTATTGTCATTTCCAGGGTAAAGTTCAAGTGCACAAAGTGAGGGTGTACAGCACATTCCCTCAGTGAAGGGCTCAACTAAACAGTAATTTTACGAGCCAGATTTTAAACAACTGGTAGCTTGATCAGACATGCTGGGAATATACACATTAGAGAAATTAGCAAACACTGAAAATCAGGACTTATTTTCCCTGAGAAATAGTGTACAAGCATACCATAGTAAAGGTATTAGTAAATATATATAATAAAAACATTAAGAATTGTTCTCTTTAGACATTGAATGAGAAGTTTTATTTTCTTCACTATGCATATCGGTTTCTGCTCTTTTCTCATTTCAACAAATGTTTTAGTTGCATGATAAAATCAAACATTAGGTTTTTGAAGATTAAAACAAAACAAAGAAATGAAACACCAGCAAATGTTAAGATCTGAATGAATGAAATGAGGGCTCAGAGGAGAAAGTAACTCTTTTGAGGTTGTATGAAATGGGAAGCATTCCTATAGAATTGCAGATGAAATTAAAATTCCATGACCAATAGATGGGAACAAATGAGGTCCTAGATTGAGCTAATGGGACAGGTGGCCCTAAAGTTCAGGTGACCCTTTTACAAACCACTGTGTTCCCAGGTAATACATTCATCTTATCACAGGGCTTTACACATAGTATCTATTTAATAAATTTGTGAAAGGCCCCAAGACTTTGCCACTGCTGGCTAAGAAAATTGATACGAAACAAACTATTGTTCTTGGAATTCTACACGACTCATTTAATTACTCCAAATCTATTCTTCATTTTGTTTCTTTCACTTGGAGGACAGTCTAAATAAGGCCAGAAATTAGATAACGTCATCAAAATTATTCCAGGTAGTTTTACAGTATCATGAATAACAGGACAAACTTTTTCTGTGAAGAATTTTTAAAGAGTAAATTTTTTAGGCTTTGCAGGTCAAAGTCTGTTGTAACTGCTCAACTCTGCTTCTAAAGTGTAAAAGCAGTTGTACACAATACATAAACAATAAGTAAGGCTGATTCATTTCAAGAAGATATTGGACTCGTGATCTTAGAGCTGAGATCATAAGATTTTTGTAAAATAGGGCTTTATTTATTTTTGCAAAATAAAGCTTTATTTACAAAAATAGGTGAGGGATTTTGCCTGTGGGGCACAGTTTGCTAACCTCAGTGTAGATAATCAGCAAGCTGTTTCTCCCTTTATCCATTTTTTTCACTTTCATGTTTTTCACATCCATGTTTTTCACTTTCAAGCATCATATATTACATTTTTCAAGCATCATAACAGAAGGAGTTTATTCCTTAGCTGAAACCATGCATGTTGATACCAGCAAAATAACTTGAGGTATCTATGACCCTAATAAAAATAATTTTTCCAAAGAAATACTGATTATGATTTCCTATAATCCATGTTATCTTCATATAACATGTGCTCTGTCAGGCTAAACAAGAACCAAACTGGTTAAACAGAAAATGCCATAAGACAAAAGTCACTTGCTTAATCTCACTGAACCTCAATTTCTGCACTGTAAAAATAAGATAATGACAGTTAGCTCACAAGATTTTACAGTGGAAAGAATTAAATACTGTCTATAAAAATACATTGTGAATGAAAAAGAGTACCCTATGAATGCAGACTATAATTATTTTAAATTCTTTTGAAAGTTTATTGTAGAGACAAACACGGTGAATCATTTTGCATTGTTCTAGAAAGATTTTTAGGGGTGGTGCCTGTGGCTCAAGGAGTAGGGTGCTGGCTCCATATGCCAGAGGCAGTGGGTTCAAACCCCAGCCCTGGCCAAAAAAAAAAAAAAAAAGATTTTTATAACTCCTTAGTCTTTACTTTATAAACTCAGATTTCACATGCCATTTTTCCTCCTTATATCAGTAATAAAAATGGGGAGAATTCTTTAAACTTATAACTCATTTATATTTATTCCTCCCAATTAATTAATTTTTTGTTGTTGCAGTTTGGCCGGGGTTGAGTTCGAACCCACCACTGTTGGTATGAGGGCCAGCGCCCTACCCACTTAGCCACAGGTGCCACCCAATTAATTAATTTTTTTGAGACAGAGTCTCACTTCGTTGCCCTCAGTACAGTGCCATGGCATCATAGCTCTCAGCAACCTCAAACTCTTGGGCTCAAGTGATTCTCTTGCCTCAGCCTCCCATGTAGCTGGGACTACAGGTGCCTGCCACGATGCCTGGCTATTTTTTTAGAGACTAGGTCTCACTTTGGCTCAGGCTAGTCTTGAACCTGTGAACTCAGGCAATCCACCCACCTTGGCCTCCCAGAGTGCTAGGATTATAGGCGTGAGCCACCATGACTGGCCCCAATTAATTTTAAAATTAATGTGGCTATAAAAGAATAATAAACAGAAATGTTTTTGTTAATGCTTTTTGGGGGTAAGAGATATTTTCCCCGCTCTAGTTTTCCAGGATATCTATTATAATTCACCATAAGATTTTCCTTAAAATTGTAAAAAATAACAAGACATTACCCAATGTTCCTATCATTCAATCCCAGGCTTAACATAGAAGCAATCGCAATTGTTTCTGTGACTAGAGTTTTAAATACAAGACTGCAACTACAGTTTTAAATACAAGACTAATATAAATGAAATATGGTACTCTTACTATATCTCTCTAAAGCAGTGGTTTTCAACCTTCCTAATGTCGTGACCCTTTAATACAGTTTCTGTGGGTCACGACCAACAGGTTGAGAAACGCTGCTTTAAAGCAAAGAAGGAGCACAGCCTGGTTAGTAGTATTTAGCCCAGACTCATTAGTATAAGCAGGGGTCCTCAAACTTTTTAAACAGGGGGCCAGTTCACTGTTCCTAGGACCACTAGAGGGCTGGACTGCGGGCCTGAGATGAGTTGGCTGCTAAGCAGGACAGGCAGCAGTGGCAAAAACACCTGGTAGGCCGGATAAATGTCCTCGGCAGGCCGCATGTGGTCAGTAGGCCATAGTTTGAGGACGCCTGGAATGTATTGCAGTTTAACTGGGCTATCATCCTATGTGAACTCAAACACAGCATCTACCTAAAAGAACATGAGTTTGGCTACTACCCACCCAAAGGTAAATAGACCCATACTGTCCAAAATCAATTTAGAAATATCACTTAATCCAATCAGTAAGGAAAGGTGAGAAGAAATACCACATTTGGCCTTTGTTTGGGGAAAGAATTTTGTTCTTTATGTAAAGTTGATGTCTTAGAGTTAAAATAGAAATCAGTCAGCAGGAAGAAATTCTAGCATGATAGTAAGTCATGTTACTACAGAATAACAAATTGCTTTTCTTCTGGAAGCTAAGAGAATTAAAACTTCATCTTGTATATCTCAGGTCTAAGATCATGGGTCCAATATTTCCTCCAAATAAATAAATCAGCTGCAATAGAATGAGAGACTCCATGTTGAAGGAAGGGAGTTGATTGCTGTTTTATTATCTTTTACTTTGTTTTTCCTCCAAGAAGACAATGATCTATTCAAAATTCTCAAAATAGGTCTTTTTATTGTGATGAAACTTTCTATATAGCTGAAAAAGAATCTCTTCAAAGCACTAACCTTTTTCTTTCCTTAATGAAGTTAAATTTATTATAATAACTAAAAAAATTAAATCTATATAAAAAAGAAAAAAATACCTGTATTTTTTAAGAAAATATTAAAAGTATCTCTAACTCCACTGTTTAGAACTACCACTCTTAAACATCCCAACATATTTCTTTGAGCTCAGGTTTATACCTGTCATCCTGTTTTTATATATAATATTATGTCATTAATTTTGCCTTGGGTCACTCTTAGTGTTAAGAAATATTTTAAACAATAGCAACTGTAGGGTATTATCATTTACGTGGATGGCTATTTAGATTGTGTTTAATTTTGCCAAGATGATCAAACTTTTTATTAATTAAGAATGGAATTACTCATCGAATGTACTACACACTTTTGGCTTTCTTTCACTGAGCCTAGGGAACATAAGTAACTCCATTTTTAAGAAGCCTTGGGAAGGAACATGGTCTGGGGCCTCATTTCCCTCATTTATAAAATAGAAAGAGTTAGATCTACCTCATAGTAAGGATTCAATGAACTGAAGGATGTAAGTACTTACAAACCACCTAGCATAAGAACCTTTTGGGACATAGCAGTCGCCTTTTTCCTGTTACCCCACTTAAATATGAGTTTTCTTTTTGCAGATGAGGTTAAGAAATGATGAGTGCCTTGCTCAAAGTCAGATCACAGTTATTTTACTGAGTACAGTAAATACAAATAGGACCACAGGGCTTACTTGGCTACAGAGAACTAACTTTCTCCTATCTGGCTCCAGATTGTGGCCTTTTAAATTCCTCTCACCCCATTGATCCCCTGACTCTTCTCTGATTATCAAGATGTCAGTAACAACTCACTCCAGCCACTGTACCTGTTTCTCTTCCTTCCTAGGACTGTGTGGCTTCTGGACGCTGGGAAGCTTGTTCACCAAGTTTGCAGTGACTTGGCGTAAACTACAAGTCAGCAGTCTGAGCGTCAGCTGGGACAGCTGTCTTTAATAGGAGGTACAAAAGTTTTATAATAGGGCTTTGTAAAATCTATCTTGCTAGTCACCTCCGTATGTGTGCGTGTGTAAGAGAGAGATATTGATTTCCTGGTAGGGAAAGTTCCCGCCTAGCTGAATTTTCTGCCAGCGCAGGTGTCTAGAGATTCCTAAGGTTCAGTAGTATAAATTTATCTCTAAACCAGGTAGACACCCTTTGTTTTGCTTTTCCTACAGAGATGACAGATATGAAAACATCTCATTTTCAACTCCTTTCAAGGTCCTTAGATAAACGCAAGTCTATCTAATTTATTACCATGTATTTCTAATTGCTTTGTGTTAATAAAAATTAATTTTCAGAAACATCACCAACAGGTTTTCATTGCTTAGCACACAGTAAGGTTTAGTCTTCATGGGACATCGTGTACCAGCTTTCACGAGGATGTTTATAAGTTAGGCAGGGCCTGAACACATTTCTACAACCCCATATCTTTCCACACCCCGTAATATTCATACTACCACCAAGAAAAAAGAATGGTGCATGGATTTCTAGACTTCTTTATCAAAATTAAATAAATTAGTATTTTTAAAGCTCTTAGAACACTGCGTGGCACACGGTAAGCTCCATATTCTTAAGAAATTTTTAAATTACCTGTATATGGTATGGCTATAACCACAGCTGAGAACACACAAACCAATACCTCCAAGAGGCCGGACCTCAGAGAAAGCAGTGTGTCTAAGGCGGATGAACCGTGAGAAACTGCTATATTTGTTGGTCAGTATCAGCTAAATATTGGCAATTTCGTGTGAAGGAACCTAACTGGAATGCAGTGCGCCTCAATTTTATTACCATTATTCCCGGACTCTGTCTCATTTCTGTGACTGGAATGATGGGCCCGGGGAAGGGGGGGTTAATGGCGGGGTGGGGGTGCAGGGCAGACCCGCCTTGGGCCCAGCCACCTGTCCCTACCGGAAGGCCGCCCTCTTCCCTCGGTTCCCGCAGGTGGGTGAGGAGCTCGCGGGGGGTCTGTGGCCCACGCACCTGAAGAGAGGCCCGAGTTGCAGCAGGTGCAGCAGCAGTACCAGTGGGCGGTCGCGGCTGAGGTCGCGGTGCACGAAGAGGAGTGTGAGCTGCACAAGCGCGCAGGGCAGCAAGGAGAAAAGCAGCGTCAGCGCCTGCCACATGCGGTCCCCGCCCGAGCGGTAGGTGCTGCTCAGGTAGAACGCCACTGTCGTCTCGGCCACAAACAGGAACACGGATGCCAGCACGGAGGCCGGGAATTTCATCTCCGCGCGTTAGCGGCGCCTACCCGGGTGGACGCGGTGGCGGTGGTAGCGGCAGGCGGCAGTTAGAGGGGCTCCCGTCATGCCCAGCTCCAACCGGCTGTCGCGCTCAGCGTTGCCCGCCGAGGGCACGCGGGCCGGCCGACCGGCCCGGCGCTGAAGAGGGACCTGGGGTGGCGGACCTGGCCGGGGCGAGGCGGGTGGCGCGGCCCCGCCGGGACACGCCCACGCGTACCGCGCACAGCCCGCGCGCTTTAACGCCAGTGGCTTCTCTGTGGCGACGGTCCCCGGGCGGGCCGCGAACCCGCGGCCTGTGAGAGCTCTCGCAGCGCGGGAGCTCAAAAGGTTACCGCGGCCCCCCGTTGGCCTACCGCGCAGCCTCTGGGTCCTAGAGTCCGTTGGTTCATGCTCTCTATGGAAACAGTTCACATCCCTTTGAAAACTGAAAACAAGGGGGCCCAGAACTGGCATCTGAACTCCTTTCCCACCAGTTTTCATTTTCTGGGCTTGAGGAAACCTCTGGTTCTTTTAAAGGCCAGTATTTTTTTTTTTTTTTGCAGTTTTTGGCCAGGGCTGGATTTGAACCCGCCACCTCCAGTATATGGGGCCAGCAACCTACTCCTTTGAGCCACAGGTGCTGCCCTAAAGGCCAGTATTAACAGTTATTTAAAAATAACCAGATCACACATAGGCTTTTCAAAGTTGGAGGTATTTTCTTGCACCAAGATGGGGAAAGATTTCACTGTTCACTGTGCCCTGTGAGCATGCCACTTCACCTTCCAAATACAATGGTCTGAGCATTGCTTCCAGCGACCTCCCAGAAAAACTGCCTACAAAATATTTTTCTCTATAATCATGACTCAGGACAAAGATCAGGGCCTAATAAGGAAGCAGTTTTCTAGTCCAAGGCAGACCCCTGCTTACTGGTGTGCCAATACCAAGTAACACAATTCCTTTTCACCCGTTGAAATTTCTGTTATCTTCTGGACAAGATGGATTCAGCCCACCCCTGTCCCTCAGACCTTAATCAAGCCACCAAATCAATCTAAAACTTGAGTTTTATATGTCACATAAAGCAATTAGACTTAACTAATTATAAGATCCCTTTCCCTGTTGAAATTGGGTGATTTGAATCTTTAGACATCTCTGGCAATTTTCTATTTAGGAAAATAATGTAAATAAAAAGCATGTGAAGATTCAAAAGGAATCAAGGCAAAAAAGACAGAGAGAGAGAACATGACAGACTGTTTTTCTTGGTTCTTGTGTGACATGGGAAAATCTATTTATAAGGGTTGAGGGGAGGATTCAGCCAACAGCTGAGAGGTACCAGGCCCTGTCTCTAAAAGGATTACTACTGTCTATTTATAGATTCCAGCAGGCCACCATGTCCTAGATCAAGATACATATACTGTCACAAATACAGAATCAGTAGTAACACTCCACAGAGTATTTGTATAATATTTTATTGGACACTGCAGTTAGCCTTAAAGGGAAAATGAACTAGTAGCTTAGAATTATTGAGAACACATTTAGCATTAGATTTTATTTTAAGGCAAAAGAATATCACAGATTTTACATCATTAAGTGTACTGTACGTAAATGTATTGAGGGAGCAATAAGCCAATAAATAAATCACTTTAAACACTAGAAAGTCCAGTTGATGGTGAATTATTTTCTATAGTACCAAACTAATACAGAAAACACATTTGGAAAGATCACAGTGTTTAGAACTTTTTAACAGCAGTTTTAAGAACATTAAGGTGCATCTCTAAGCTTCTGACTCAAACTTGCTTCTAAAGAGATCTTATTATACAACACAGTGGGCTGTGAGCAAATCCCCCATACGAATGGGGGGAAGCAACATCAACTGATAGTACTTCCCCTCCAGGAACAACCGATAACAAAAGCTAAATTCTGATGAGCATTTGCAAGTTGATTTTTCTCAATCTGCACACTAGCTAACTTGCTCTGGTGATCATGTCTTTCTATATTATTATGTGCCATTTTGTCCTTAAGAATAATATACTTTACAGCTTATGATTGCTAGTTTCCCTGTCAAATATCTAAATGGATTTTGACTCAACATCAATTTATTGTCATGTATTACATTATACTTTTGCACTAGGACTGAAATAGTCATTAGTTTTTAAAATAACATGAACACAATAATAAACTTACAGAAGGTGATATTTTGGTATAATAATATGTAGCATACCAGAATATTTGAGAATTTAGTTTTATTACAAAATACAGTAAAGTGACATTTGATGATATAGTAAAATATCTGGCAGAATATTCTGCTCTGCAATTAGTCCTAATTGCTACAGTTATGTCTTTGAAAGCGCCTCAAAGTGCCCCTAAGGAAATATAACAATTAGCAAGAGGTCATGGAACCTGTTTTTGGCAGAAAGGTGTTTTTCAAAAAGTCTCTCACTTTGTGTGCAAGTCTTTCAAAATTTTAATTATATACTACAGATAACTGGTATTGGATTTAATGCTAATGGAAATTACTAGGATTTTAAAATATGAACAACCAATCTTTATTATTTGTTGTATTTTAAAAAATAATTTCATGTTTTTAACTGCATTTGTGCTGAGGCAAATATATTGCAAAGAGCATTAATTTTATTAATAATACTAATTCATTGAGTGGTTCCTAAAAGTTTAAATAATAGTACTTATTCATTCCTACATATACTTAGAAACAAGCAGCTATACTACTATATCGACAGATTATTTCTTTGTAATCTCCATAATTAAGAAATCAGACTAATTTGCTTCTTGTGAAATGTATCACTAGGAAGGTGAGCTTTTTTTTTTCTCCAATGATATAATCGTATTTCTGTAAGTATTGTGCACTGTGGAAAAAAATGCTTTCTGGTGAAGTAAATTCTATTCACTGGGAAATACACATTCTAAAACTAACATGCGTTTGAGTATCTTCCCCAATGTATCTTCCCCAATATATGGCTTTGTAAAAGTATTTCCCCTAATAATTTGGTTCTGCAAAATCCATTTTTAAAATTTTTGTTAGTTTAGCGCCATTATATCTAAGAGATTGAAATTCAGACTTCCCTTTCATGGAGAGTTCCCCCAGATGTTTAAAGTTAGGAAATCTGTTACCTTTTTAGAGAATGGGCTGCCTTTCCTTATCAGATTCTAAAACCAAACTTTTGCACTTAGAATATTCTTCTGCTCCTGGAGAGTCTATGTACAATTCATGTTACACTTTGCAGTTTCAAGAGCAAAGAGATTCTACTGCTGCTACAATCTTCAGAAGACATTTCTAATATTAAAATACTAAAGTCCTAAAAAACAGAGACAAAACTGATCATTTAAAGAATCTGCTTATTTGAATACATCCACATATGAGGGTTACCACAGTCAACTTGAACCAAATTCAGCAAAGTTTACTTTATTGATAATTGTCACTTAAGCACAGATTTTAAAACTTATGGGGACAGCATAAGAGGCTCCAATAAAACCAATTTGCAAAAAGATCATTTGCAAAAGATTGATAGTAGTCAAATATAGTCTATATCTTCTTTAAACTGATTGTTACATCATAGCTACTTCATACACATTACAAGAACAGAACACATTAAAGCATGTCAATTAATACCACACACAAAACATAAAAAGAAAGCATCAGCAGGAACTGTACTGTTCTACTTAAGAAACTGTATGTACTCTATGTTTACACATGTACACATTCAGATGTTTCTTCCCCCATCATTTCTAAAAGAATAAGAGGAAGGTAAGTATTGGAGCACTTTCTGAAGGTCTATATCCAAGTGCAAGGCCTTAAAGCCATCTGCTGGTTTCAATTTAGTAAGTGGATGTTCTAGAACAAAAGAGATGTCTTGGCTCTCAAGTGATTCTGAATACGAGAAACATAAGGTGCTCCAAAAGAAGTAGAGAGAAGAAAACACAATGGTTTTAAGAGACATTTGTGGCAATTTCTAAAATTCTTATAGACACAGAACTCAACAAAGCAACAACTTCAAACAAGTCTCTTTACCCAGGAGAGTTTTCTCAGTTTTTATTATGTTAATGAACTATGTAACCTCCAAAAAGAGGGTAAAATAACAGACCTTTCCTAACTTATTTAATCACAGAACCTATTCTTCTACAGGCCAGCTTTTGGCACCCCTGTGGTGCATTTGGGGAAATACTGAAGTACTCATGCAATTAGCAGTATTCTGTTTCCATTTTCTCTTATAATACCACAATAATATATAAGCAATAGAAAAGACTTTATCAATACTGGGAAACAGAAGTGTGATGCTAGCCCTTCCCTGTCCAATACAATAACCAATCCACATGTAGCTCTTATACACCTGAAAGGTGCCTCATCCAACTTGAGAGGTATAGTAAGTGTAAAATACACACTGGGTTTTGAAGGCTCAGTACAAAATATCTAAAATATCTTGTTTAACATTTTTATATTGATTGCATATAGAAATGATAATATTTTGGATATACTAGGTTAAGTCAAATACATTATTAAACTTAATTTTAGCTTCTTTTTACTCTTTTAATGTGACAAATAAAAATTTAAAAATTACATATGTGGTTTGCATTTGTGGCTCACACTGTTACATTTCTATCAGACACCACTGCTGTATTTGTGAAACTCATGGCTGTTATTTCCTGTAGATGGCTTCTAATGGCTTTAACATGGAAGAAGTTTTAATAAAAACAAAGTTTAAGACAGATAATTTGAAGTGTAGCTAGGGCCCTCATTAATTATGTGCTAATTTATTAGAGAGCAATTAGCACACAATTAAGACCTATTCATTAATCAATCTAGCATGAATATATCTTTTCACTCAGATGTATGTAAGGCTAAATGCTGTATTTCATGTGTGATATCGACTCTCTTTAAGTTAGTCTCTCTCTCTCTTTTCCCTCCATTGTTTACACACACACACACACAACACACACAAACAGACACAAGTAAACTATTTCCTACAAGGACTAAGAAAACCAAAGAGGAAGTA